AAAATCCGAGAGGAGCATTATGAACCAAAAACGGCCCATCCTTGAAACGTGCAGTTTTATAAGTTTTTCCCTTAAAGCCTCCTTTTCATTGGTCCCAACTTGTCACCTGGTGACAATTCGAAACTGATCGGAGGGCACAAGAGAGGTCAGTTTTGCGACTAAATATGACTCCTCTCCAGCCATGTTTCTCTCGACTTTAGTTTTTTCTATTGTTTAAATAATTTTTAAAAACTTCCATTGTTTAATCGAGATCTTTAATTTCTCCCTTTCAAGTTGAAAAAGGAGATTTATTTTTTTTCCTCAATTGATAGTTAGTCCACATTTAGATCTCTATGTTGACTTCCTTCCAGGACCTCACACTTATACTTTTGCCATAATAATAATATACTCATTATCATCAACAAATAAATAAACCTTATTTATTGTTTACTGAATGTGCCATATTTCAGTTAGTAAACAAATATTCATAAACTACTTATTTATAAATGATCTCCATTGTACAATGTCTGTGTCCTTTTTGTACAAGAAAGTTGGCAACTCTAACTACACTGAAAATTTCTGTATTTTTGGCATTAATTCAGTCTTCAGAATATAATGAAAAAATTCAGTGATTGTTTTACATCTTAAAGTGCATTGTTATTGAGTACTTTCTGTATTAGACACTTTTAAAAGATACTTTTGTTTATTGCATTTTTGTACGTGGAATGAAGGATCTCAAGTAGGGTTTCTCAACTGGGATCCTGGTTGTTTTTTAACCTGGGAAATCCCACAAATTTTTTAAAAGTTCACTTTTTTCTTATTTTTCTTATTGAAGGTTAAGGAAATTTTGCAAATAGAAAGTATAATTAACTCATAAACTTTCAGAATACATTTATATTTATTAATTTTAAACCTACTTATTAGTTTTTTAAATTTTTGCTCATTATGGCATGTCACAAATGGTCAATAATCAATATGTAGCTTATTTGTGGCAGGACTCTGAAAATTTTTTACTTGTCAGAACCTGTAATATCTGGAATAATTGTGCTTATGCTGTCTTAATTTTTAACCATGCCCAGTAGCTTCAATAACTGCATAATGCCAGGTTGTGCAAATTGGGCAAGAATACAAATGAGTATGAAGTCTGAAGGCTGCAAGTATGAAGTTTTTCTTGATAAACCTGATTATTAAAGACAAACGAACTGCTGAATTATTGGGCTATAAGCTTGATGTTTCTGTTAAAGCAGCCGAGGTAGACAAATCAAGAATACTAGAAAGTAAAAGAAGTACTACAATCTCAAAAACAAACTAGAAATCTTCCAAGCTTCAGGTGAAAAAACAGATAACATCTATCTTCTCTTAAATGCATTAAACACGATTTTACTCACATCAATTGAATCTGAAAGGGCATTCTTGGTATCAGGACTTTTCATTACATAAAATAAGAATCAAATTGAGTGATTAGAGTATTGACCATCTTTGCTTTTTAAAATCTTAATACAAAATAATAAATTTTTATAATATGTTTTATTTAAATAATGAAAATTACCCTCTAAGTTTGAAGTTTGATCTAAGTTCATTGTTTTCTTTAAATTTTCAACTCAATTCAAAGGCATTTTTATTGTAAAGCAGTTTTCAACAAGCTTTAATAAATTTTTTCTATTTGTAAAAATTTCTACCTAATTCAAAGGTAATCAATCAATATATATTATAAAGGTAAGTGTACAATGTGCATGCCGCTAAAACTCAAAAATGAGTCCCTGTATGATCAAGGGAGTTATATGATGTATTAGCCCTCTATCCCCCATCCATGAAGAAGGTTGCTGTTTTTACCTGAAGGGCGTGCTGTTGAAGATATAAGGGCTGGAAATTTCACCCTCTAGAAATTTCTAGAACACTCCAGAACATTTGAGAGCATTCGACAACATTGCAGAATGTTCCGGGATGTTCTGGAACCTTCGGGAACATCCCGGAACGTTTTATTGAAAACAGATTGTTTTCAATAAAATAATACTCTTATATTTTAAAGTTTATCCTTTTATTCCAACTACCACACAATTTCATATCAACTCCCTGAGCGAAGCTGGATACCCCAGCGAGTTTTTAATATATATCTTACACAGCATTATTAATATGATTTTGAAGGTTGCAGAACATATTATAATTATTTTTCATTTTTTAAAGTAATTTATCATTTGATTTCAAGATATTTTGTATATCTTAAAAATAATTAATTCTTTGTATACAGGTTAACAACACTTGTTAATAAGTACTGATAAAATATACAATAAACTCCCAACAACCTTTAAATAATCAGTGAAATATTTTTAAATATTTTACTGGTTATTTAAAGGTTGTTGGGAGTTTATTATAATTAATTCTATTATGGGTTTTTCTGGGATCCTGGGAAACAGTTCACTTTTTTCCCGAAATTCCGGGACAAGCAAAGGACAGGGAAATGAGAAACCCTAATCTGAAGTAACTTCTATCTATAGCTGATAAATCTGTTTGAATGAACAGAGATATAGAATAAATGTAGACATGTACTCTACACTTGTTTACAATGTTGTTCTAACTAGGTTTATTCTGTTGAGAGCTGACTATTGAATCTGGCTAGAGCAATATCAATAATTAATGTTCCATAAAGTATGATGAATGATGATAATTCACATTGATAGTGACAAAATGAAATTTTTTGTAAGTTGCATTCATTCATTCAATCAATATAAAAGTACAGCAGTGCTCTGTACTTTACTTCATTTCAGGAGTCCATTTGAACTCTGAATTGTTTGAAGTTCATATCTTTTTTCCTCATTAGAAATAATGGAAAGTGAATTAATCCATTCCTATATCCTAAACCAGTGGTTCTCAACTGGGGGTACATGTACCCCTAGGGGTACGAGAATAAATCGAAGGGGTACATCTAACTTTCATTATAATGGCGTATGTTAATCAATTTGCTGTAAATTATTAACACAAGAAACAACAAAAACTTGCTTTAAAATATCCCAGTGTGAACACTAATTTCCCTTTTAACAGTCTAAACAACTTGTTTATCCACTTGATTTGCCTGTCTATTTGTGCCATTAGTGCCGAGTGAATCTGTAGTCTAGTAAAATTACGGTGTAATCGAGCGTTAATTTTAGAATAGAAAAAATTTTTTTTTTCTATTCTATAATTATTGCTCGATAACATCGGCACTTTTCGTGTTTTTACTGGACTACTGGTATTAGAAATAACGAGGCCTAGATCGTACCCGCACCATGTAATGAGTGTCACTGCATGCGTGCATTACTTGATATTTAGCAAATTTATACGTTACATTTGTTACAAAAATTGAAAGATTCATGTATTGTTCTGCACATTATAAATTCGCAGTTATTACTTTCAAGGTCAGTACACAATTATAATCTCTATTTAACAACATGGGAACCAAATTTTGAAAAAATTGCTGAAGATTTATCACAACAAATATCCCATTAAATTTTGTTAGAAATTATTGTAGAATAATTTAATTTTCTTTATCGTTAATTATAATTATTTATTTTTAGGAAATGTAATATATGCATGTATTGAAATGACTTCTGTGATTTTATATAATATACTTGTCAAATAATAATAAATAAATGTATGCACCTGATTAAATTTATTATTATTTATGTAAAATAAGTAATTCACTTTTAGTTATAGTTAGTTAGTTAGAGTTTTTTTTATGACGCTCAGTTATGAGGACTGTAATCATCTAACACAGTAATTATAAAACTTACAAAAATATAAGGGGTACTTGAGAAACAACTAATGGGCTAATGGGGTACATCAACAAAAAAGGTTGAGAACCACTGTCCTAAACAATATCCTTTTTGATAAACTTAAATAGCATATATGCATAATTTAAGGTAAACATAGTATGTTTAAATACTGTAAATAATAAAATAAAAATTGCATTTATTCTACTCATTTCTTAAGGCCACTATGCAGCTTGCTTGGCTTTCTCACAAATAATCCTTTCAGAGATGATATCAGCCAATTACATTTTATTTATCCATACTAGGAGGAGTTTCTCCATCTCAATAGCATGCAATATCCTAGAGATCAGCATTGTCACAACTTTAGCCACATTTGCTGCTTTTATTGCTTTCTTGTTCTTAAGAATGGTGCACATTTTCAACTTTGGCATCTTAAATACAGATGCCAGAATTGCCAGACATGTACCACTGTCATGCTTCATGATAAGTTCTTTTTTACCTCAGTTATTGTTACTACAAGACGAGTGTTGGGAGAAACAAAGCCTAAGAAGGTTTTGTTATTCCCATACTCCATGGTTAATAGGTCTTTCTAGTGTTCATCTTCATGACACATTCTTAGAGTATATCATCATCATCATCCTCTCCATCTCTAATATCATCCAGTAAGGAAATTTTGCTTTCAGAAAATGTTTTACTTTTTATCAAATTTATAAGTGTTTCCTAGAGATCTATCAATAGATAGATACATTATCAATTAAACAGTACTAACACACTTAATTCTTGCTATAAATTGATCTTTTCTTCTTCTTGTTTCTATGTTAATTAAGTTCAAAAATGAAATTATATTAAACTGCTGTATAAATTACAACAAAATAAATACCACAAAAGCCTTTCAACAGAAAGGAAATAAACCTTTTGTTTAATTAATGAAAACATTTTTGGTCATTTAAATTTCCAAAATATATAATTTCATTTATAAGTATCTGTTTAAATTATATATACTTTTACAAAATAGTGACATTTACTTGTCTTTAAGTAAAATTAGTTTAAGAATTTAATCAAAAACTAGCCTGAAAAATCCAGCATAGTTTTGTTTCTAAAAATTTAGGCTTTGGTTTCGATTGCATACATTTTTTTCATTTCTTAAATTTTAAGTAAAACTTTAAACTTATATTGCTCATTTCTCAAATAAAATCAAAATTTACAGAAATGAAATTTCTGTAAATTTTGGAGTTAAATATTGCAATCAATTTATGCTCTTTTTTTGTTTATTAGGGTAAATTCTCAAGAATATAGTAGTTTACGGGAAAAATTACAGGCACCAGTACAAAATGCTCAAGGTATCATAATACAACATACATTGACTGATCGTTTTTTAGATGTTTTTTACACTTATGTTTCTGGAAATCCCAAATACTCTTATACTGATGATGAGGTAAGTTCATTTTAAATTTAAGATTTAATTAACAATTGAATTTTTTTTATTTGTTTTAAAATAAATAATTTATTTTTTATTTAGGTTTAGAAATGAAAAATTTAAAATCTACTAGCATAAATGCTCTCATATTATGGATTGATTTCTTAACCTGTTTTGAGTAATTTAGAAAATAGCAGTTTTTTTAATTTTGTTTCAAAAATGATCATGTTAAAAAAATTGTTTTTGTTTAAAAAGTTAGTATCAAATTGATAACTTTGAATGAATTATTTTCATAAAATTTATAATATACAGTATACACAGTCTTGCATTTTTATTACTCATGTTTTTTCTCAATGTAAAACCATCTCTGTAATCCAAAACAATACAGTAGACGTGTCTCACAACAATTCTCGGTTAACAATATGATTTTATTTTCTAATTGAACTACATATGCATTTCCGGTTGGTGTAATATGTTACAACCCCTCCTCAGTGAATTTTCCAGTATAAAAATTGCATAAAAAAGAGAGAACACCCCTTTCTTATCCCTGTACAAGAGAACACCCCTTCCTTATTCAGGGATAAGGAAGGGGTATTCTCTCTTTTTTTGTAATTTATATACTGGAAAATTCACTGAGGAGGGATTGTAACATATTACACCAACCAGAAATGCATATGTAGTTCAATTAGAAAATAAAATCATATTGCTAACTGAGAATTGCTGTGAGACACGTCTACCATATTCTTTTGGATTACAGTGACAGTTTTACATTGAAATCTAACATACAGCAAGTCAATTATATCATGTTTTTTCTGTTGTGGGAGTTAAAGAATCTGTCTAATGTTGATTGCTTTTCTCTCTTCAAGATTTTTCAGAAGTAATTAATAGCATTGTATTGAATAATTGTAGAGATCCCTAAGATTATTAATCTCAACCTGGTTTGAATGCCATTCTAAGACTGTCATTCTGACATCACTTTTTGAAAAAAATGTTTAATAGCAGATATTGACATTAATTCTCTTTTTCAGAAGAAAACATATCTTGCCGAGTTTCTTGGTGTTTTTCATTCAAGAGTTCTTGGTGTTCTTCTGTCATCAGATCAGTTTCAGGTTCCATATGTGCTCTTTAATGTTCTTTATTTCTCAGATGTAATTTTTGTTACTCCTTAAGCTGCTTGAGTCTTCTTGATAATACAGTATCAGATAAGATTTAACTACGGCCTACTGTAGACCTATTCAAGCCATACTGCCCAGCAACAACAGACATCAAATATCTGCCCACTCTCTACCTTTGCTATTATACTCTCACCTTTTGAAAATAAAAACCGACACAAAACTTAACAAGCGCCTGCCCGACAGTCTCACGAATACTAGAAAAAAATTTTTTCTGTCAGAAAAATAAAAGGCTGGAATTACAAGGGAAAGTTTCAAAGTTCGGAGGAATGCTATCTGATCAGTATATACCAGGTTGAGCATTGATGTTGACATCTCCCGCACTCCAAAATGTTTCGAATTGTTGTCTGGAGACAACAATTCGAAAGACCAATCAATATTCATTATTTTACATCACTTCTTCTTGTGTTTGTTCTGTTAGGTGTTCATTATCTGATCATGTGTTCGTTGTCCGAACATAAAAATCTTTTGCGAAAGTGTTCTTTATCCAATTTGTTCGTTAACCAATCACCCACTGTATTACTATTTGCAGTAAAATGCTTATCTTTCCATAAGTCTATATAACTATGCAATAATAATAATAGAATAATGTTTTTAAGAAAATGGCAAGATTTTAAATTCAACATTAATGAAATTTAGATGAGGATGAATGTTATTGTCACTTTGTAGAAAATTAACAATTGTATGTCTTGTACAGCTGAAATAACTTGTTTAAAACATTATTTATTATGACTGAGTAACATTTGTATTTTTTACATGATTTTTTTCTGCATTTATGGAGGTTGTTTCTGTAAGTATTCTTTACTTTTGTGACTTACTGTGCTTTTTACATATCTTCATATGTAAAAAGAACCCTATTCCACAAATTAATATTCTCTTTCAAACACTTTGAAATTAATTTAATAAATCATTTGTTCTGATAAATATCACAGCACATGAAAATGTTATTATAAACATGGTTATTCAGTATAACTATTTAGCATAAATTAAATGTACAGTAGACCCCCCAATAAAATGGGTTCATATGATACGAATTTATATATAACAGCGAAAAAATTGCCATCGTATTTGTATAAACATGCTAAAAGAGACTTGTATGATACGGTAAAACGTCATCGCTGACTCGTGTCATGACAGGATTGGTCGAATCTAGACCAATAGCGGATATTACACAAACCGTTGTGTTTAAATGAGCAGTGGACCTACTAAAAACCATTTATTATTTAACAGCCATAAAAATTATATTTATATTAACGATGTCTCCAAAGTTCAGAAAATTTTTTGTAGAAAAATAATTTATCAGGAAACACGCGCGCTGTTTAATGTGCCGTTCTGCAATGAAAACAAGCTTAAGCAATGGCGTCATCGAACGGTGCACACTCGGTAAGTAATCTTACAATTTTTTGTTTATAGCATAATTTATATGGATTATTCCCAAAAAATTATACATGTTTTGGAAATGTTGAGTCAAATTAGACTAGAATCAATTAATTTTATGGAAGAAAACTTATCAAACAGCCATAGTCTGTAAACTGCATATGTTCTGGGCTGTGATTGGCTCATGTATTTAAGGATTCAAAAAACACGAATTTCATAAAACACAGAATGTATCTACCATGTTATAGGGGGGTCTACTGTAATTACTTACTGTGACATCATCACAATGCCCAGTTGCAATTTTTAATTTAAAAGATCATGATTTCTGGTCCAGACTGGAAGTTCATGTGTAGCACATTTTTTGGAAGGTGAGGAAGACCTAATTAGGAAGATAAACAAGATAGTTTCCAATATTGTACTAACCGTGGCCAGTGCAGTAGCAGAAGTTGATCAAATGTTTGTTTTATTGAGTCAAGAGAAGAATAAAGCACTATTGACTATAAGAATTCTAAATGAGCACAAACCACTAGGCAGATCATTAGTGGACAAGTTAAGCAAAAAAACAACAAAAGTTTAAATACAAAAGATATCAATGTTTATATGACCTCTTTGTTATTAGAGCATTACAATGCTGAAATGCATTACATCTGTGAAAATAATTTGTTGGAAATAGATTTAGCTATAACCTGAGACAAATCTGTATCTTGCAAAAAGTATCTTGAGTGTTAGAATTAATCAAGGCCCCTGACCCTAAGCTTTTCATATATGGTCTAGATTTTCATGTATGTAACTCTATTCCTGAGGCTAAGGAAGTATGGTCAGTGGAAATCTATAGGTCTACAATTTGAAAACTGCAGCCCAAAAATGTATTATTTAAGTACAGATAGTCCCCCTACTTGTGAACAGGTTCTTTTCCAGTAGGCTGTTCACAAGTGAATTTGTTTATGTCTACTGGGACGTGTGTTTTGATTACAACCAGCTCTACTTTCAGACATGGGAGACAATGGTTCATCAACAATAGGAGAGGATGGGTCATCAGCACTAGGTGACAATGGGACGTCAACATCAGAGGGAAGGTGAGAATATTTTGGCATCGATTCTCTAACACCTGATATCGATGGCACTGGTTCAGGATCATGACAAGACTCATTGTAAAGTACTATATTATTTTTCCGACTTTCCAACGATTATCGACACTACTGTGTGCCGGAAAATAGCCGTTCCCTAACGGGTACTTTACGCGGATTCGCGTTAGTGTGCCAGGCCTGGACTTTAAGCGTGCACCGAATTAAATAATGACAAAGTTTGTCAATAACAAAATCCAAATATTTAATTAAACTTCTATTAAAAAACTCTATACAGTATTTAGTAAAAATCAAACAATAATTTATTCAATGAAACTCAACAAGAATCAATCCGACAAACTCAAATCAATCTATTTCTAACTTAATTCTATTCCCCTTTGGAATTCGACAAAATCAAAGAATTAACTTATAAACAATAATTCTTATAAATTAAAGATCCTAATCGTCACCTCAATATACTAGGAACCTATTTCCTCAAACTCTCAAGACTTTCTATAATCGTCGATCCACAAATCGAATAACTTCAAAATCCTATCGGACACCTCTCTCGTTCACTGCTACGAAGCTCACCAAAGCTCGTTGCTATCAGGAATTCACCTCGTTCGTTTTCACTTGAGTTAGAGGCTTTATAGTGTGAGGTGACGTCACAATTCTGAATGAGCTCACTCTCCTCATTTACATACTTATCTGTAACATTAAATTTTTCTTGTTTATCTGGCAGATTATTTTCCGACAATACTTCGCTAACCTTTTACATTATTCTTTTTAACAATTATCGGGATGCTTTATTCTTTTAAGGTTTAGCGATTCCTAACTGGGTTGTGGGGTCTTCCCCCCCCTTTTTCTCGGTGCGGACTTACTTTTTTCCGCTTGGGAAGCGCAAGTGTGCGCGAGTTTTTCTACGGCGCTTTTCTTTCGTCGGTGAGTTGGTTTTTCTTCTATTTTTAAGTTACTAAGGTGAATGGTGAGGAAACCTTCGTCTTAACTAAACATAAGCCCCAAACAAAATATAATGAAAGCAAAATAAAAGTAAAATAAAAATAAAGCTCAGACTTGGTTCCTTACACCATCATGTTTTTTCCACTCTCTTAAAGAACTGGTCTAAGGATGTCTGGGTAGTGGCCTTCTTTATCTCATCATATATGTCCCAGTAGCAATGAAGTGCATCATGGACAGCTGCTGTAACCCTGGTGTACCATTCTATATTTGGATTCTGTGATTCAAAGAGCAACAGTGTCTTCAATCATCTGAAATGCCTGTGCCATCATCTTAGTCTGGAAATGCTTCAGTGCTGTTTCCACTTCCACTTTTTTGTTCTTCCTTCCTTTGGTTTTCCAGTTCCATGAAGTCTTTATTTGTCTGCTCCTGGTGGGGCACAGCAAAATATTCATGGAAGTCCATTCCTCAAGATCAAGGTCAAGCTTCTTGTTGATGCTCACTAAGTTGTCAACTACATTTTGTTCTGCCTGTAGCTTCTCAAAACCAGGAAAGTCATGGACAAATATGGGGCACAGTTTCTTACAAATTCCATTCATGATGGAAGTGTAAGTTCATGCTATGAAGTATCAATGTTCATTATGGCATTATAGATAGTGAAGCTCTTCCAAAATTCACACAATGTCATCACAGAATCACTGACGAAATATGTGCTGGAGATATTTCTTGAAGGTTATGGTCCATCAGCTGGAGTAGGGAGGTAGTGTTGAGTGGCAGGAAAACTACATTCAAATTTGGATGAAAATCATCCAGGAAAGGAGGGTGGCCCGGTTTATTATCTAATAGGAGGAGAATGTAGAAGGGAATTTCTTGTCCCAGCAGTATCTCTACCTTGGGCATGAAATGGTGATAAAACCATTCTTGAAATATAGCAGGATTGGCCCAGGCTTTTGGGTTACTCTTCTACACAACAAGAAGTGAGATCTTAGCTGTATTTTTCAGGGCTTTTGGGTTTTCAGAATGATATACTAACAATGGCTTCAGCTTCATATCTCCTGTGGTATTACTGCCACACAATAGTGTCAGTCTGTCCTTTGAAGGTTTGAAGCCAGGCATAGACTTTATCTTCTTTAATGATGTAGGTTTGGTCCAGCATCTTTTGATAAAGCCCTATTTTGTCAACATTAAATATTTGCTGAGGTAAAAACTTGTCTTCTTTGATGATTTTCTTAAGTGTGTCAGGGAACTCCTGTGCTGCTTCTTTATCTGTACTTGCCACCTCTCCGATCACCTTTACATTATGGAGGTTATTATGTGACTTGAAGCAGTTAAGCCATCCATGGCTTGCAGTAAAGGTCACATCTGCTGCTTCTCCATATTTTGTCTTTACATCTTAAAAAAGACTTAAAGCCTTCTCTTCAATAAGCATTAAGCTTAGCAGCTTGCTCTTCTGATGACAATCTTCCATCCAAATGCTCAGAAATTTTTCAAGTTCTTCAATCACTTTTTCATATTTGCTACTAATAATAGTAGAGTGCATAGTCACTAAACTTTTCACATGTTCCATGATCTTATCCTTATTCTTGAGGATTGTACTGTGAATACGGGGGTGTAAGTCCTGTTCACTTGTCAGAATGTCTAATTGCTCTCAAATGTAAGGCGAGTGGATGGAGAGAGTTTGGGGTCGACGATAAGGTGAAGGCCATGATCGAGTAAAGGAGTCTGTCATATTTATAACAAATAAAATAACAATTTATTAAAACTAAGCAAAATGACAAAAGACTGTACCAAGCTTGTTTCTATACCGACCTAGAGAGAGTTTCACAGTTCTTTCATACCTCTGTATAGCCGTCCCCTTGACGATTCTGAACGTGGATGCCTTTAAATATCGATCCAAGAAAATAGATAGTTATAATCCAGTTTCAGCACAAATTACATATAATCGCGACTTTTGCGACGATTTAATTCGAGTTTCATCGGAATTCGGCGGGTTCGGAAGATCAGTGCGATGTCGTTAGTCCTGCGTTCATTCGTAGACTCCCCTGAGAGGGGGTAAGAACGGTCTTTTATCGGTTTTAGTGGGGAATTTCCACCACGTGATCGGATGTTCATGAGTTAAAGGTTATAGGTGTTCCAGGGATCTACAACAAATGACGACATTTAGATGCTAACTGTAAACCTTCTTGCAAGATGAGATGCAAGTTCTGCAGAGAACTATGGATGTTGCTAGTTAGGACCAGAAAGTTTACACAATGCCGGCTAAAATCATTTTTTCCTCTAGGGGGTTACATAAATGAAAGTTTAATTAATTAACATTTTTGTTAATAAAAGAGCGGGATTTTCGTCACAAAAATTCCAGATCTCACAGTACCGATGATAGAACGATTCACCTGATATGAGTGAGCAACACTAGCCATCTTATCATCATGCTTCACTCTTTTTATAATGTCCACTTTTGTATCCATCGTGATGGCCTGGCATTTCTTGGCATTACCAGCCACATTACCACTGCTTTTGCGCTTAACACTTGACATCTTTAGAATGCTTATAAGGGCAAAAACTTCTGAAAACAATTGCAAAGTTTTCTGGAGAGTGCACAACACACATTCAAATGAGACCATGTGGGTACAGTGAGAGAGAGAGCTATTGTTTACAACTATGCTACTCTTGCTCCTATTGCCATCACTTGGCAGATGTGAACCATCCTTACACGCTAACTTTGAACTTGAGGATAACTATGTCTGTATGTAACTCAAAGTTTGTAACTCAAAGTTTGTAACTCAAATGTTTGCAAGTAAGGGACTATCTGTATTCAACTTATTAAATTTCCAAATTATAATAAAGTTTAGAAATTTCTTAAGTTGAGCATAATAATAATAATTAATGTTTATATTTTTTGAAGCCAAACAATTGCCAAATTATATCAGGCTATATTACTATTATTATTAAGGGGTAAGTAATTTGCACTAAAGGCAAGGTGTTAGGTGCCATCTCTTGTTAAATTTAATAATTATAATTAAATTAATATTTTAATAATTAATTCTGGAAGAAAAGAATTAGCCTGAAGTGGGACTCAAACCTGCAATTCCTGCTTACTTTGCTGTTGTGTTGCCAGTTACACTACCCAAACTTCAGATGCCTT